ACTAACTAATAACCAAAATAATATTCAATTATATTATACTAGGAAATATAAAATTTAATTAATTAGGTATTGAAATTTTAATAGGTATATAACAAAAAATAACAATTTATATAGAAAATGTTATCATAAAATTTCTCTATAAACTACATTTGATGTCAAAATAGTTAAACTTATGGGCGTACTGGCTCTGGAGTATGCTACATAAAATTATCCATGTGAAAAAGAGCCTAAAAATTTGAACTAGAGACTCACAATTTATAAGTGCTTACTGATCAATGTATATAGATATACAATGAACACGTAAAATTTTGTTTCTTGACGATTTAAACCCCTTAAAATCAAAATTAAAAAAAAAACCTTTCTTAGTTTACAGTGAAATTTTCCCAGTTTCCCTTTTTTGTATTTTTTAAATTTCATTAAAAATATAATTCTTTTTAAACTTCATTTCCTGGATTTTAACGTTATTCTGATTTTCTTAAATAGTGATCCAATTACTTTTTTTTTTTTTTTAATTCGCTATGGCCTATCTCCAGAGAGGCACCTTATTTTACTGCTTTCATAATACCTATTAATTATATTATGAATATGGTATAACCGTTAATGTTTATCATGATGACTCAAATCACAGATACTTTCTATTAATAAAATATAATTTATATAAATACAGAAAGACAGGTAAGTGGGTAGAACTCAGCTGTACAATAGGTGTTAAGTAAGTCAATGACTCACTGTATAATAGATGAGTTAAATTTGAATTCAATGATATATCATTATATATAAAAACGATTTTTAACAAAAAAAGTTTGTCAGAGTACATTTCATGATATTCTTTATTAAAGTAATTAATTTTTCTATTAGTATTACCGTAGGTTGATTTAATGTTTACCAAAAATATTTAATTTACAATTATATTATTATAATAATATATATTTATATTATTTATACTTTATGATATTATTGTTATTAACTTTTGAATTTATACCATCTTGTCATGGAACATTATGAATAGACTCATAGTATAAATAAATATAAAATTTTTAAATTAATCTACAAAATTTGAAAATTTCATCATGTGTAATAAAATTTATAATATAATATATTAAAGTTTCAGTCCTTGACAATTATTGTTTTTAAATTTTAACAAAATAATTAATATCGTTATTTATCATTAAAATAAATATTTTTTTCTAAATTAGAACTTTAAATGTTTATAAAAAAAATAACCATGCTTATATGCTTATTAGTTTTAGTATGAATTACTTATGAAGATACTTATTGTATTTTAAAACCTTATCTAAAAAATTAAAGATTTATTACAATAAAATATTTGTAGGTTATAATTTTTTGTGATTTTGACTAATTTTGTAAAAATGAGAACTTTAATTGCTTATAAAAAAAAATGAGACTGTATATTTTATACAAATATAAGAACAGCCTATGCAAAAATGTTGTACTAAACTTTCAATAACTTTGATCTATCAAATAATATTTCACTTCCTAAAATTTAGATCCAGTTGTGCCTCTGCTGAAATTAAAATAATAGTAATATCAATTTATACGGTATAATTACAATCATTACATTGTTCTTATATATAGATGCATTGTGTTAGTGTCAAAATTAACATTAATGTGTGCTGCTCCTAACAAAAGAAGAATATGATAGAATTTATAATTGGAAAAATTCGAGTTAGTTTAGTTGCTTATTAATTAAGTAAATGTTCTTTGAAGTATTATATACCAGATACCTACATACAGTTACAAATTGTATTAGTTATTTTTCATAAATATTATAATGACATTATGTATATTTAGTTGCATTTCAACGCGTTTCAGGCGCAAACTATATTACATAAAATATCAATGTATGTTATTATTATTACTATTTTTAATATAGTATACTGTATAGCAATAGTATCCATTCAGTGTTCATATAAATTATTGACGTTATAGTATAAAAAAGTTTGAACAAAATTTATCTATACATAATATACAAAATAAAAATATAAATGTTAAATTTTATTTTTTGATTTGTTGGCACGTTCCCAAAGCACACTTATACACAGACACGTTGTCAAAGGGGACCTTAGGGGGCCTGGCCCTCTGAGAAAATTCAGTGACACCAAACTGGCCATCTTGATTTTATTTTTAAATATTTTAATTATTATGGAGTTTAATCATCCCAAATTCTAACTATATATTATATTACTCCATATAATTAACGGTCGTATAACAAAAATTGAATTCTAAGATTTGATTTTATAAATATTTGTCTCTTGACAATTTGAGATAAGAGTAAGATAATAACACATCTAATAGATTGAAAACTAGAAATCCCATTAATTCCAAATACGATTCTCGAACGTACTTTGATGAACACAACTACGTACATCATTACAATAGTGAACCTATGTCCTATATAATACGATAAACATGCCTAACAAAATAACAATATAATATTATTCTCTATTGAGTTTGAGTATTGATTCATTCAAAACACGCAACGTTGTAACTGTAATAGTTTACAAAGCACGATATAATAACTAAGAGAACTTTAACAAATTATTTTAATAATCAAAAAAACTTGAGAATCGAGAGGTAAGTACGATAATTATACATAGATACTTCGGATAAATTTTATTTACCAAAGTCTTATTTATCTACGTTTTATATTTACTAATTAATGTAATTATTTTTTTTTTAGTTAATAATCAATGTTAATAATGCATTTATGTAATTTTGGATATTTTAGCAATAGGTAATAGATAGATATTAATCCGTATTAATTAATAGATGCACGTTAAGTATCTACAACATATTTTACATTTTTAAAACAATTTATTCTATGTATAATTATTGTCAATAGATTTAAGTATCTATTTTATTTATTTTTATTATTAAAATTATTATTATCATAAGTGTTTTATTGCGTTATAATATGCATACTGTTAATCTCAACACTTAAACTATCTATGTAAAGTATGATATTATAACATAGGAGGTGGTACCATTTACCATTTAATGACTACATTATTTTAATAAATTAATGATATTATTCGTGAAATTTTGATTCACCTAATCGATAATATTATAATTAATTTTTCATACTCATTGTTATTGGTACCTATGAATTTATTATACTTAACCAATATATAGACAATACTTTGTGAAATTCAATATTTTTTTTATAGACATTGTGTAATAAGAAAGAAGAGTGGAATAGGGGATACAAAAAACAGAAAGTGGTCAAAAAATGTCGGCCCTCTTATTGAAAAATGTCTGACTACGTACCCACTTATACAAGCTGTTAATTTTGTTTTAAGTTTTAAATTATAATAAGTGATTATTTGGAAAATTATTTATAATTGTTTACTTGCTCCACAAAATTGCATTTCTGAAAAAATAATATTTACATAATGTGATACAAATTAGTTACTACCATCTATAACTATTGTCTTATTTTAGCATATTTACATCAATTTTTCACAGGAATATAATAAGTGTCGAAAATAACAACAATAGGTAATAATTGTTAATTGTTATTGTGTTTAATATTAAAATATAAGATTCTGAGCGGTGCGGTAAATTTATTGATTTTACAATAATAGCTAGTATTAATATTATTATTATTATTATGACTTTTATCACATTTTAAGATAACATTGGATTATAATTTAAGATTTCATCGTACGTTTATATATTTTACTGTGGCTATATTTTACCATTATTCTTTAATAAAGACTATGTATTAGGAGACTAAACTCCATAAACAAAAAATGTACCAAAAAGTGTCCTAAAAAGAAATGGCCATGTGTCAGTATAGCGCTTTATTGAGTTTTTGCAATATTTCTTACATGACATATGACATGACCTATTATAAATATTGTAGTTTTTATAATTACGTATTCATAGATATGCACTATTTATATTATTAAACTAATCTATGAATAGTTGTTTATTTGTTCAATAATCTAAACATCTAATGTTGTAATTATAACATGTATATAATTTGTTTATTTATCACTTATTATTATCAATTAAACATATTATTAAATACGAAGTAAGTATGTATTGTTCATAGCTAATATTAATTATATTGAAAATTTTGAACTGAATAATAATTATTATTATTAATGTGTATACATATACATTATACACATACATAATAATGCAATATGTATGAATGTAAAACTTAAAATCTACAAAATTTAAAGTAAGTCACATTTTAAAATATTGCATATTAGCTATTTTATTCATGTCACATTAGTATTTCCTACTTGTTTAGAAATTTTAGAATGCCCAAGTTTAGTCTCCTTATCTTTAGTCTTCATGTATTAACCATAGAATATACTCTATGCCCTATGGTTTGAACCTTAGATTGCATTATCAATTGTTTTTGATTTTCCCAAAACATGATAAGTACGTTAACTTGATAATAGTTAAATTTGAAATAAAATAATTTCACACCGTAATGTACGATAACTGTATGGAATCGATTGACAAAAATCTTTGGAATGAGTGTCATTCGTTTAATTTTCGAATAGGAAATAAATAAATACAAAACGGGAAATTGAGGAGAAGATTCTCAATTTTTTCGATGGTCACACTGGTCATGCGTATCAGCTGACAACGTCCGTCACCGCTGTATGAACACTTGATAGGGCATCTGTAGCGCCGCACCGCACACATTATTTGTTCACTATTATTATTATTAAAAACTTCGATATTATAGTTGTCATGCTGTATACTGTATAGTGTACGACGTACGTTAGTCGTCTGCTGAGTGCTAACCGATCAAGTACTTTATACTCGTTGCGCGTTGAAACGATACTCTATTCATATTATCGGCGTCCATTGATATATTTTTCGTTTAAATTCGTATGTGTAAAAACAACAAAATTACGATCAGGTGGATTTTAGATGCAATTTAACTCCTCTTTGACTTACTTTCACGTCAGTGACCGATGTGTTTGTATTTCATGTTTGTTTAAAGGGAAGTCAGTATGTCACAGTCACAATACTCTCGTGACACGGTCATCCACCTCGTATCTGGAGGGTAATAATTACATTAAATTATATTATTTTCAAACCACTTGTTCAAGTTGTTATCGTTCTTGCAATGATTGTGATATGATTTTTATTACTTATTCCAGTTTGGCTGGTACGACTGGTGCTGTGGTAACATGCCCTTTAGAAGTGGTCAAGACTCGGTTGCAGTCATCTTCCAGTTTTGGGGCTATACGCTATGATTATGTGCCTAGAATTGCATCTGAAGATAGTGGCGGTAGTCGCATGACATGTAAGACAATCTCGTCGTTGCAACGACGGCGATATAACACCTTGAGCGGTGCTGGTGGTCGACACTCCAGCACACAAATACTAACATTTTCTCAATGTGGTGTAGGCAGCCAGACGACTAAATCAATGGGGCTCTTGCAGTGTCTCAGGTAAAAATTTTGAATCTGTTTAATGCTATCATTTTTTAATTACCTAATCATAGTCTATATCTACCATTGTAGTTGATCATTCATTGATAGTGTTATATTCCTCATGTAGGTACAAATTAATTTTAAAAATTGGGTACCTTAGTACTTTTTTTCTAATAAAATCAAATGATAAATAATGTATGTGCTTATAAAACTAAAAATTTCAATATAGGGAGTATTGATGGAATTATCTATAACTATTCCCAGTTGATGCATTCAATATACAATATACTTATAGAAATTAATAAATTAGAAGTACATAAGTATAGTATTTACCTTTATTATACTAGTTAGCTTAACATAAAAATAACAAAAAAATTTCTTTTACAATACTGATTACATATGCAATTTCAACAATTGGAGTACAATAAACTTAAATTGTTTTGTTTACAATCTTCAAAATGCAATAAATTAAATTTCTTTTTTTAGATCTAATGCATTGAAGGCTAAAATAATTTTAAATTCATGTCAACTATGAACTTACTTCTTAGGTCTGTACAATTTCTTGTACATTTAATGGAAACTATAGTTCTCTATGACTTAATCTATACAATTGAGTATGCTTAGTATCATCACCTAATATTTTGAATATCAAGGTGATACTTAAAAGATAATTTTGAATTGAAAGCTATTTTATTGTAATTGTATTTAAACAATTAAAAACACTGACCATAAGTGACAGTAATAATATGGATGTATTTCATACCTACTTCTACATATGTTATTAAAATTTGTTTTTCGTAAGTTGTGCTTTTTATTAGCATTAAACAAAGAATAATTTTGTTTATTATTCAATTTAGAAATAATTTACAAAATAAAATAAAATTGATAACTGATAAATAGATTGGTATGTAGTTAAATTTATAATCCAAATATATTTTTTAAGTTTAATAAAACTTGAAAAGCAAAAACTAATGACCGTATTATTTTAACCACATTTTAAAATTTTGTTTCAAAATAATAAATCAAAGAAGAAAATAATTTGATACATCAATTACACTCTGTCTGATATTCAATTATGATTATTATTCATAAACCATATCATTAACATTACCAAAGCATGATAACCTTATAGTTTTAATAAAGCAACCATATTATAATAGTAGATGCTTTTTTAACAAGATGTTGTTGGTGACATTTCTAAGTTAAAAATTAACCAGAAATATAAACTTGTCTACTGCACAGAACAAATTTAAAAGGTTGTCGTCTATCATTCAAATTTTCAAAAAAAAGTTCCAATATTGTTTGACGTTTGTCTATGGACCAAGTCCAATTAACGCGGCATTACCTTCTGTAAACCAATAGATTTTGTATTATGAGTGCCAAACTCATCAAATCTAAAAAAAAACAACATGCTTTCTTGGTTGACATTACTTAAATATTTACAAATAGTGCATAAAGATACCAAAATTAGATAAAACCTATCATTTAGTTACATATCCATATTATCCAAGTATTTAGTACTTTATTAAAACATTTTTATCATGCTTATCAATAATTTAAAATTCCAATATGTTATATTGAAATATATACTATTATTAGTTAAGTTAATGATAAAACTACTTATCTGTATAAAGTCCTTATAATATATTTATAAAATACTATTATAAATATGTGTCTATGTGTATGAGTAATGATGTTCCTAATAAAAATAATAGTTTTAAAACTATGAAAAATATTTACTATAATTTAAAATCAGCACTTATACATTTTATGGTTATACAATTCAAACATGTTTTTACTTTCATTGATCAATAGATAATTAAAATTATTAGATTTGAAGCTGAGGTTATTTAATAATTGATAATATTATTATTTATTAATATGGTATGCCAAAGACTAATAAAAAAAAAAAAAAAAAAAAATATTTAATTATTAGTCTTGATTAATGGTTATGTATCAGTTACAACTATATGCATTTCTAATAAAAACTATTAGCATATTAAAACATTTTCCAAGAAGACTTTTTTATTTATGGTTTTTGGCGATTACTTGAATCTTATAAGTTCCATCTTTTTCTTAGAACAATGTACTTGCACATTCGATTCGATATTCTTGTTTTTAAATGACGTACATTTTGATAAAATAACATTATTATATTTGATTATAATTAAACTAATAATAATGATTAAATAACAAACATGTTTAATCCATAGTTGAACCGTATATAAACGTGGGCTATTTTACAAAATAACACGTGACTTTTTCTCATGCCAAACGTTGAATTTATTAAACACCAACACAAATTAAATTATTGGTACCACGATTGAGAAATACATTGTACCTACAAAATAATATTCATGTAAATTATACTTTCAGTGGTTACACTCTTCTCTCACGTACGCCAGTCGTCAGATAGCCTGTCTCGGTCTCGGTGGCCCGCGCAAACGGCAGACGTGACTGCGTGAGGGAACAATAAATAACATCGTACAGCACTACAGCATGTATTTACTGCGTAGTACGACGACGCTATCCTGTGTCCGCTATATAGTGTACATTATTATTTTTTATACATTTATACCAACGTGTGTTACAACCGGTTGTCCTTCGGATATCAGCCGTGACCTTTATTAGATAGGTAGATAATATATTTTTTTTCTTTTATCTTCGATTGGCTGCCTATTATTGTACCTGTAAATGGGATTTTGGTTTTTGCACAACAATATAAACAAAAACAAAAGTTGGTGTACGCGATGAATAGCACGTAAGCCAAAATTGCTACTGAGAAAGCCCCGCTGTCGCACCTATCTTGATGTACAAGGACTTATATAATGACATAATATAATAATTTGACTGGTTGACCGGTAGTAAATCACAATGAATTTGGAAGGTTTATTGACATTGCCGTGTGTGTGATATTTTCATTTAGAACTTGTCTACAGTATATTATCTGATCGATAATGTGACTGACCTACAGACTGCAACAGTTTAATCACCTAGGGTTTTACGATTTTTTTTTATTTTCAAATTTCCTATACATTATTTTGCATGGGGTACATTCCTTTTATGTAGTTAAAGTTTAATCCCAATTTTAAGTAAATTTTTAATCTCTATTTAAATATTTATTGATTTAGTAAAAGAAATTATTTATTTTAATACACCAAACTTTGATTATAATAATATATTGTATAGTAGTAGCGTACGACTGTACTACTTACTACTTATTTTGTGGCTATAGGAAGATTTTAATTATAAAAAAGCTCTAAGCTATTGATTACGAGTACTATTAAATATTAAATCATTAAACATTTTATTATCATAATTAGTAATTATATGTAATTGTATTGAAGTATCTATAACTAGTATTAAAACGCATATTTATACTACACGTTTTCTTATTTTTTTTTTTTAAACAACGTTGACAACAAATGTTATAGATTTATGCTTAACGCGTCATCTAAATCATGATTTAATTCACAAATCCAAATTATAATGAATTACATAATATGTTTAATTATTAAAATGTGTAAATGCCAATAACAAAATATATCTATTTTTATTTATATTTACATATTAACATGTTTGTAAAAACTTTGTATATTCTCATATAATTAATTTGATATCAGTATTCAAAATAAATTAACTTTATAATAGTCAAGATTATTTATGCATTCATATATTCAATTAAATTAAAATTATATGTTCTTATCTTTATATTATGTTCATATAATATAAATATATCTAAAATATTGATAATTTATTTTACATTTAGATTCAAATTATTTATTACTTAGATAATAATATTAAAGTTAGGTGATTAATAGGTATAAAAAATACATTTTTGTAATTCACGTTTGAGGTTTGCTTAATTAAATATCTAATCTCAAATATATACGCATGTTTGCATGATTCATTAGTTAAACAAAATATCAATAATTTAACTGTAACTTCTAATTTACATTACTACTGTAGAGTACTAGATTTTTGATACAAACCTATCTTTCAGTTATTATATAATACATAATAATATTAACCATATACTATAATAATAGGTATTATCTTCTGAGTACTATAATGTGTATTATATTAAAATATTAAAGAATAAATTAAATGCGCATGCAACATGAGTTCTAAGTACTTAATTGTTGGTATTATTCCCAAGTATACCTATAATGTACTATGTACCTAGTAAAAATAATTTTTTCCTATATTTTTTATTGACTTGTTTACAAGTTTCGAAGTTATTTGCTTAGTTGCCCAGTGGTAAACAAACAATTAATTATTCGCCATTAAGATACATTCGTATTTCCTTCTTTACTTATCTAGTTGGCATTTTTCTATCTTTTTTAGGCACATAGTAAAAACCGAAGGCCCCAAGGCTCTGTTCAAAGGACTGGTGCCCAACATCGTGGGCGTCGCTCCGTCCAGAGCCATATATTTCGGGGCCTACTCACAATCCAAAAAGTTTTTCAACACCGTACTTAACCCGGACACACCGATGGTACATGTATTATCGGCGTCTTTTGCAGGTAATAATCTATTTTGTTTGTGATGTATTTAAAACGTGTTCGAAAAAAAAATTGATAATAACGTAAACCAGTTGTTGGATTAAAAAAAATAACTAAACTACACTATGGGAATAATATTTATTATTTTACGCAATAGTAATTTAAATTAATCAGTTTTTACTGTTTTTTTATTTAGCATATTATATAATTATGCAATTCCTTTATAAAATGACCCCTATACCCACTATCCAGCCTTTAGCTTAATATTTAATCACTGTTTGTCTTATATTTATATCATACATTTTTGTACCTATCTAAAAATGGAATACGACTTTTCATTTCTCTATATAACTACATTTTCTATGCAAAATGCATTCTCTTTACGAAAATTGGCAAGATTCTTTTGTTTCTTATTTTTTCAAAGCAACTAATAATAGTTTACCTAGTTCTACTTTTGATATTATATAATTTTATGATTATTTTAACAAAATGTTTATATTTTAAAACGTTTAAAAATTACACGAGTACATATGTATAAGAAAATATAAAATTTTCAATATTCACTGTGTTACAAATTATTATTATAAAGAAATCGAGAATTTAGTCTAAGATACTGATAAAAGAATATAATGTATGTTCATTTATTAACATTTATCAAATACTAACATATTATTAATGTATTTCTACTTTTCTTTAGTGACTAATTTATTTATATTTTTTTTATGAATCAAATAATTTTTTAATTTGTGTTGTAAATATATTACATAATAATTTTATTTATAGTAACATTAATAGGTAATAATAATTCGATTTGTTTTTTTAGTAGACTATTTGGTACAAGTGATATTACATATATTTACATAGTAGATATATTTTGATATTTTGTTATAAATTGTTATGAACGTTGAACTATCATACAATTTTATTTGTCAACAACCGAACAGATATACACAGTGTGAATATACGCATTTAGAATCGTCAGCGAAACAAGTTAATCCAGTCGGTTTGCTTTTTAATTTTACAAACCTCGTCGCTCTCGTGACGTAGGTATATACACAATTTATTTCGGCAGATCTGTTAAACTATTATCTGTTATATTTTTTGAATTCTTCGAAGTCTGATTACGATCGTATTTTATAGTTTTCTGGCCACGGGCAGTGTTTTTGTTCATCGACGGCGAGAATAATTTTCTATAGTCGTGGTTTTATAAAATCGGAGGACGGGACTCGACGGTTGCGTAACCAAAAATTGCGCGCTACGAAACAGCCCTTCTCGGATGGTCGGTAGGTTTTTTGAATTGTCGCAGGTCTCCCGCGCGTCATCCATTTTTTACCGTACGCGAACCGATCGATGGCGGCAACGTGAACGGTTATTAAAAAAAAAAAATCATATGTTCTGTGTTTTGTTTATTTTTTGAACGCGGCGGTGGCGTTTGGCCTCGTTTTCTCCGTCTGTGTGTTGTTGTTGTTGTAATGTTGTTATTGTCGCGTGCGCGTGCGCACGTATCATTTATCGTATAGTGGTTTTAGACGACGGCGGCAGCGGTCGTATTCCCCACGCCCTCACCTCTGCATAGTCGCTTCGTCCTCGAACCCGTGCCGCGGACCGGTGAGAGAGTATCGTATTTTTATAATAAATTTTTCCGCGTAAATAAAAATGTACACGTTACTTACATCACGTAGGCCGTGCGCGAGTTACAGTATCACGCCGTCTGTGCTGGTGTTTCGGTATGAAATTTTCTCCCCACCACACCGACTCGTCGTTTGCTATGCAGTTGTTGGTCGGGCGGGGTGGGTCGAGCCCGGCTCGTAAACGTGCAACGAAGATTGCCTTTAATAATTTTTATTAGTACATATTATTTACAAACATATAATTATGTTCCGCGGAACGTAACTCGTCGATCGTGTTTTTGGTCTTATCGCGCGCTGCAACGTGTAGGTTTTAATATTGATGTGCGAATTATTCACCGTTATTTTGTTGTTTCGCATCACTTAAACTCATTGGATATTTAAAATCGTTCGATTGTGCAGACAGTAGTCACCGTTTTACATTTGTATGTCTGTAGCTGACAGACTGCCAAAATCACTCCGTTTACAATAATGTGAATACCCCGTGAATCGTGAGAGTAGATTTGTAACAGATATGTAATTGAAAAAAAGATTTTAAAAACAGTTAAAACCCGTTTTGGTAGCATATAATATATCAAGTGCAACGTGCTTTAATTCACGTGTTATAAGGTATTTACTATTTAGATCCTATATAGGTAATGTAAACTGCTTGGAATTGTTTTTCAATCATTACGTAATCTTTTCTCATAATAAATGTTTATAAAACGTGAATTTTAATAAAACTACTCAACGTTGGATGCTTTCCTCCAATATTAAATTTCATTAATACATACATTTCTGGTAAAAAGTTGTTATTTACAAGTATACAACTTGAACAAAAAAGGTTAATTCTTAAAATTATAATAGTTGGTACAATTAATATAGTATGAAATTATATTTTATCAAGCACTTACAACTTTGTAGCGGCTTTATATAAAATACTAAAAATTAAATATCCTTATTCATCTTTGAATTATTTTAAGAATATAACGATTACTGTAGTTATTACCAACCTGTCAACAACTATATCATGAATAGTAAAAAATGAATTTTAATAACTTTGACACTAACAATTATTAATAATAATAGTAACGTTCTTTGTCTCTGTGCAATTGTGTTGGTATAACTGTTCGTTTTTTTTTACAATAAAAAACTACAGGTTTTGTCAAATCATAGAAGTGAATGGTTCTTAAACGTATGACATAGGTTATTTGGACAACTATAATAATTTTTGTTGAAAGATATATTTTACAATTTGTTTTTTTTTTTCACAAATTAGTCATGTTTGAAATTAATTTAATTTATACAATTTCTAGCCAGTGATTTAGACACCATTTTATATAATTGAGTTATTAAAATGAATTAACCTTATTATTTTCAAATTTATAAAACTATTCATAAACTTTTATAAAAAATACGTATATAGTGTATACCATAAATATAAGCAACTAGTTACAATTGAATAACATTTTTGTCCAATTTTTTTTTTCTTCTGAGCGGTTATTGAATTTCATATCAGAAATTTTAGGAGCTAAATTATTTAAGTCAAGGTATGAAGATAATATATTATCTACTTTTAAGTAATATTATATGTACCACAGTTCATTTGTACTTCCTTTTATATTCTGTTGATAACTTTACTACTAAATACTTGCTGATTTTTATTAATTATTCTTCGGGTTTATATAAATTAAATCATGCTTATTTATTATTAACATATACCGTAATGTTGATATATGCGATGGTAAAATAATTATACCTTTAAATAGTTAAAATATAAATATAAGAGGTTGAATGTTCTATTACAGAACGAAATTAATAGTAAATAAATTAAATCAAAACAATCTATATAATATGATATTGTATTATTGCGTAGAAAATAAAACTAATAAAATTTGTTAATACTCAATATTCATAACTACACTATGTAATAAATAAAGTTGATATATATTTCTTTAGTTAATTGCATGATTTTAATTTGAAGTATTATAAAAAATATTGAAGAAGTATATTAAGTAGGTATTCAAACTTGTTTTTTATGTCTATTATTTTTAAAATATTATCATTAAACAAATCAATAGTTTCCATTGTTTTTGATTTTGAAGCAAACTTGCTCATAATTATGAACAATTTAAAATGTATAGAAAAAGTACAAATTTAAAATGCTCTTAATATACTTCAAAAATAAATATAAAAATACTTTTTGAGATGTCCTAAATAATACTTTTACCTTTTAATTAGATGATAATCAATTTACTTCTATATAACAAAATAAACAAGATTTTTCTTACTATAAAATTTGGCATGTTATGTGTATTACTAAGCAGAGACAAAATATACCAGTATAACTGTAATATAGTGTACCTATATTGTAAATTGTAATGGAAATGCATGTACAATGTACATTGTACATATTATATATTTTTGATAAATCGAATATAAATTTTAAATTTTGTAAGTGAGTAAACTATTCTTATTTTTTCACCAATTGGTTAATAGTATTTTTTTTACAGCTATTAATGAATATTATTAGATGTTAATAGTCGAAATACTTAAATAATAATTACAATCGTCTAATGCCATTTAAGTTATTTTTTTATACTCTATACATTTTTTAATTAATATCATTAAAATATTTAAGCTATTGAGGTAATAATTTTTGTAAATAGCTTTAAAAAATGTTTTTCAAACCCAAACACAAATATCCCAAGAACATAAATGAACAATCAAAACAAATATAATTGTGCTCAGTTCGTTATAAGTGACACGATTACAAAATTATAAATAAATTGAACCCTGATCTATTTACTGTATTCATACACCTCGTTTCTCATCGTGTTTTTTCCAGTAGCAGTATATTTGTAAACCGTCATTATATTTTGTAGTATAAATTATATTCATAATAATTGGAGTATAAACGCCGCATTTTTTGTCATTAGTTTAGTCAATCCAAATTTAAATGCATGTTAAATTAAAAGTTATCTTCAGCGTAATGAATATTGGGAATTAGACTGAAAACGCGATGTATGGCACGGGTCATAACCGAGACTACATTTTCCGACGCGTTTCACATGTCGTGCGTATTCTGTAGCGTTTTCTGTCCCTATGGATTATAGTATAGCCGCTATACCGATGACAAAAAACGCTACGCTTATATCATAATTGTACATGATTTATGGCATTTAGGTAACAAAATATGTCGATGGATATACCTCGTATTTCTGATAAAGTAAATATCGTAGTATACGGTATGCAATGGAAAACACAGTGCTTAGCCAAGTTTCAACTTAGAGTTAAATTCTATAATTCATTATTCAATACCTAGAATTAAAAAAAAATATTTATGTGCAATTCTTATATAAAACGCAGTTCTTTTTATTTATTTTCATTTGCAAGATAACATTTTTTAGAATTAAATATACGGTTTTAAATTAGAGCCTTGCCTTGTCTATGTATTTTGATGCATTCAGGTAAAATGCATTAAAAACAAATTACATTAGTTTTAATATTGTTGATATCACGTTAGTATAGAATAGACTCAATGGCACTAGTGCTTTGACCTGTTCCAGTCGATTTCACGGCCCACCTAAACATTTGTTTGATAGTTAGTTGTATGCGTTTGCATAGTTCTTTTCAAATATTTAAAAAATCCAAAAATTTTTATTTGAAAACCTCATTCACATACACAGATACACTATAATATATATAACCTCATTATTTTATAAATTTATAACTATAAATTTTTAAAAAAATACGCGAATTAACTGTATAAAATTCATTTGATTAAATATTATGTATAAACATTTTACTTTTATTATCATTTATCACTATTGAATAATATTTGATGGTTTAACCTCCAGAAATAAAGATAAAATTTAAACACAAACCTATTGTTTAGTTAATTTTTTTTATAGTATTTTCATCATAATATTAAAGATATCTTTGATACAGTGGTTATTTTAAGATTATTATTTACTAGGTTAACTAGTTAGATAATATTATTGTTATTATGATTCGCGCAATTCAACTTTTAATAAATATAACTATCTACGTAATCGATTAATCATTTAATTTACAGTATAATGATAAAAAAATACTAATATACTACTAAAATAGAAGCTTAAGAGTAAATATTGTTTTATTTTACGTTTGTTTGGCTCATGACCATTGATAAATAAGTCTTTTTGAGAAATTAAATTTCCTTGGCTTCTATGCAAAATCCCGTTTTTACGTAGACATTCGAGGTTAATTATTTGATGTCAAACGTATTCGAGTATCTATTATTCCATCTATGATGAGATCCTTATATTCTTTAATAATTATTCTAAATTATTTAAATTTATACACATTTAAGAGTATAATATACTCTGTTCAACAAGAGAACAGACCACTTCTACGTATCCTCCCGCAACTGTCATTGAGACCGATTTCATGTATTATATATCGCAAAGAAGGATACGTAAAAAAAAGATTTTCGTCGAGCTCCTGTGTGTTCTATCACTAGATAGAGTACAAGTATAGTTTAGTTACTTTTAGAATTAGTTTAAAAATAGACGTATTTTTTATTGATATATTTATTAATAAATTGTAAATTTAATTTGGAGTTTTCAAATGATTCTAATTTTTAGGTTTTGCTTCATGTTCAGCAACTAATCCTATTTGGCTGGTCAAAACTAGACTACAGTTGGATTTGAACAAAAATGGGAAAAGACTCACCGCTGGTCAATGTATCAGAAGGATATATAGGACAGGGGTAAATATTCACACACCATGATTCACTCTTACTGTTAAAAAGACTCCAAACTAACATCTGTTGTCTTCTTATTACAAATATATTATTGTATAATAAATTTGTGTTCAACAGCTCCAATTTTGTGTAGTAATCTTGAATAATAGAGAAAATTAACCTATTATCAAACAATTAAATACATTATTTGTGCTTTATTTTTTTTTTTTTAGTTCACTTAGTTTTTTTTTACGATATTTTAATTTGTAAGCAAGTTATGAGTTCATATGTAAAATATTATACAATTTAAATATACTTTTAACTTACTTAAAAATTTTAATATTATACAAATCCTAAAATAAATTTAAATAATGTTCTTACCTACAATTGATAATAGATAAATTATTTCTATAATTAAAAGCTTTAGTATTACGAAAAATTGAAACTGCTGAACGCAACTTTGATACTACGATACGTTCGTAAAACAAAGACGCTACTTGTGGCCATCACATCCTTTTAATATAAAAAATATTTTTGTTATTATTTATACTTATTAAAATAAATTGTTATTATTTTTGTGCACAGGGCATAAAAGGTTTCTATAAAGGTATTACAGCTTCGTACTTTGGAATATCCGAAACCGTTGTGCACTTTGTCATCTATGAAGCAATTAAAGCGAGACTGATAGCCGCCCGTGTTGGACTCAATGAGTCTGAAGATAATACCAAAACCTCCAAAGATTTTCTCGAATTTATGATGGCCGGTGCCATTTCTAAGACTGTTGCTTCGTCCATCGCCTATCCTCACGGTATTGCGTTAACTCATATCTATACCCTGGTATAATTTATAATTCAGAAGCGCCTATGACATAATTATTTTTAGAACTTAAATATACACCCACAAATACTAATATAAATTTCCCTAACTATTAATGAGCTTATAAGCTTTATTATATGTCATGGTAAAAAAAACAACTATCAGTGTTTCTGGTTTGTATAAATAATTTAGAGTAAATTTTCATTCCCAAACTAAAGTAAAATCCGCAAAATATATTTTCTTTTATTACATTCGGAAAATAGGAATTAAATGATTTTTTATAATTTAGAAAAGGTGAAAAGGTTAAATGTATAAAAGGCGTGTAAAAATTTAAATGTTTTTTTCATATGAATATATTATAATCATGAATTATATTTTATTTTTAACTCGAAAATTCAATGCTTATCTATAAATGAAGTATAATCATAAAATTTGGACTCACATTATTTTTGTGAACGTAATAATTAATAGTTTTGTTTTTCGTGTGTTTATACAGAGGTCGCTAGGACCAGACTCCGGGAAGAAGGTACCAAGTATCGAAGCTTCTTCCAAACTCTGTTAACGGTTTATGGTGAGGAAGGCCCAAGGGGGCTATACCGCGGTCTCACCACACAGCTAGTCAGACAAATACCTAACACAGCCATTATGATGGCTACATATGAGGCTGCTGTTTATGTGATGACTACGTATTATAGTCCTAACGAAGCTGTGTTCTACGAAGACACCGATGATCGATACGAGTGATATATGTTGCCATTATTAATTGTATGGTAAGTTATAATCTATTAAATGTAAAGATACTATCCCCGTAGATTTTTAAAAGTAAAACTTTTAAAAATAAATTCTATAACGCAAAATACAAGTAAAATTATGTAAATGAAATGGTGTGTTCTGCTTTTTAAAGTTATTATTATTATTTTATAACTTGTTTTTATGATTAAATGCTATTTAGTTTTTACAAAATCAAAAGTATTTGGTTACACAAAAAAAATACTTTTTTAAACATTTAACTATCTAACTTGTAGATTACACACATGCCATTCAATATTATTTGTAAGACAGTTAAATAATACCTAAATAGTTTTCTGTGATATACAATAACAACACGTATACAAAATGACGTAATATTAAATTTAATAAAAAAAAGAATACTGCATAAGCTTAAAATAAATTTCTGCTTCATAGCTAAGTGTTTTTAATAAATATCTGCCTTGCCATTTAGTTTGCTCACATTCTCACAGTGCCTTTACAAGGACATTTTATCTGCAAAATTTAATTTTATATAGACATAAAAATACATACATAATAATTGAAAAATTTAACACACCATAACCTTTGCAAAAGTAAACAATGCTTAATAGTTAATATTAGAATTTATTAAGCAAAACAAATACATCGATAATTAGGTATCATTTAATATTCATCATTATTCATTATTATTAGTTTATCTGTTATCGCATTAATATTATTATAGAAATACGAAAATTATTTTCTAATACGACATTTTGATAACCTTTGATTGATCCGGTAATACAAAGAAGTAACAAAACAATTTTAAATGTCTTGAATGCAAATCTATTAATAGATACGATTGAATGACGTTCATTGCACGTCAAACATTTGATAAAATTGTTTTTCTATAAAGACAACCAGCCAAACGTAATTTATTAGTTGGCCGCACGTGATATAATATTTTTACATGCCGTTTATTTATTTTTTCAGGTTGAAGATCTCAACGTATCGCAATTTTAGTTATGTTGACATAGTCGTCTACTACCCGAAAATTTGCTCCATTTACTACTGAACAATCTTTGCGCACATAAGTCATTGAAGAGCATGAGCTTCATTTATTTATTACATGATATATTTATTGTATTCCAACAATTTTTTTTCTCTTTCATAAGTCTATTTTCTCATCACGTCCTTCTTATATTTGCCTTCCTATTAATTTTCTTTTTTTTATATACTTATGTTTACAATTTAACTATAATTTATTTGTTAAGTATTTGTTTTTTTAGTTTATAATTTTTAAGCTGTCTGTCAGACAATTTAACCGTTATTATTATTATTATTATTTATTGGCATTAATTTTATGAAAATTAAAGTCATTATTATTATACTTAGTTAATATTTATAGAACTAGGTTCTATACATCTACAAACGAGTTAGTCAAAGGTGATCCTAAAATATATACCTTTAATATATATATATTGCGTTACCACAATATTACGAGTAATATAATATTATATTATATCATACCAAAATAATTATTACTTGTATTATTTGAATTGTAAGGTATTTTTTCTTTATGATAGTATATTGTAAGTAATATTTAAAAATAAAGATTCCAATGTCATGGGTGCAAAGGCCACTAAAAGTAAATATAAGTATCACTATTTGGGGAGATGAAGTAGTCAAATAAGAAATGCTATATCTTATGTGCGTGTATAACATAGTCTTGTTTATAGTGTAACAACTATTATTTATGTTATTATAACAAATATATTTGTTTTTATTATTGTATTTTGTTTATGTGACAATGTAATCTTTTATGAACTTTTAATGTTTGCTTTAGTGCCTATATTAAAAGTATTTATAAAGAAAACTAAAAAAATTGTGTTCTGCTGTATTCTATTGAACCATTGAGCTTTTGAATGGCTTGATCATAAAATAGTTTATCGTTTATAAATTTATAATCATTGGTATTCCTATAAAGTTATTCCAGAAAATAAACCAATTATTTAATAAAAAAAATGATTACCTTCTGATTAATCAAAAATATTTCTGAGGATTTTTATTATTTATTAGGAATAATTATTGATTTTTATACATAACAGATAAAAACATTTTGGTTTCTACATTATGTGATCAGTTATGAACCTAATTTTAGCTTAATTGTTAGTTTGATGATTATGATAGAAATTATTAATAATTATGTTATAGCTTGTTGACTATATACGTTTATACATTTCCATGAATTAATGATTTATGCTCAAATTACTTAAATGAGCTTTAGATTTTCTAAATATGGCGTTTGTTATTATTATATGTACAATGTACATATCATACTTTTTACATAATAAAATGTAAATCTGAGTTCAAAAACTACTAACAGGAGAATAGTTTTTCTATAAACAAGAATGAATGATATATATTAAACACGGTAGTTGTTCTTATTTATAAGCATAAAGCACCCAAAAATAAAATAAAAAATTGAAAATAGCTTATAGATAAACAAAGGTGTGATAATGTTGTAATAAATTTTAAACAATTAATATTAGGTAAATATCTATATATTAAAATTAAGAAACATGATTAATAAAATAACAGGTAGGTATTATATAAGTATTTACTACTTATAGTTAAGAACATTTAATAAACTGAAAATTCCTACTTATCTTGTTTTATGATTTATTTTTAATTTATGTATATCAGTGTAATGTGCTTAACTGTAATCATTGTACTTATCAGGGAAAACTCCAGAGTCATGACTGGTAGGGGGTTCCTTCTTGGTATAGATCAGAAGTGACTAACCTTTTTTGGGTCAAGTATCAAATTTTTTAATTCAAGATTTTGAAAATTTTTTACATGCCCAAAGGAAATTATATTTTGTATGGATAAAAATAAAGTTACACAATAAATATAGTAATATAATACATTTTACAAAGGATTATTATAATTTTTAAACAATTTGTTTTTTTGAATTTCTTATAAGTTATAACCAACATTTTATAAATTACTTAATTTATTAAAATTTAATTTTTTATGTACCATTGAAATTTGACCAACGTACCCCTAACTACACACTTTTACATGTCTATAAAATAATAGTTGAAGGTAGATGTCTTATTTTGGTAACTTTATTTTTAATAATATACAGTTCTTATAAATACAGTGGTGGGCTAACATTTCTTCTGGAGTTGCCTATGGTACCTATTTATAATGTTATGTTAATTGTTTAAATATTACTATCATATTAATTATACAAAACTTATATTGTAATAATTTATTTAAATTTACATAATGTGATATAAATATTATATAAGTATTATATGCACTAACCTAGGTACAAATTGAACTTTGATTTTGTTAAATTTGAAACATTTTTTATGTTTTAAATATTTTTTAACACACTTGTATTAAAAAAAAAAGTTCACAAAATGTACCTAATATTAATTTACTTAACAATATTATTATTAATTTTAAATATAATATATTACCTATATTGAACTTTTATTGTATTAAAATTTAAATTATTAACATTTATTAAATTTTATTATAAGATATTAAGTTATTTATTATATTTGAATTTAAAATTTGTTTATGGAATTGTTTTATTTATTAATTTAATAACATCCTCAGATCTCAAAAACTTATGTAGTTGAAATTTAAAAAGATGTTTTAAAACTGGTTTTAAACATTTGGTACCTATCAATTAGGTACCATTTATTCATGCTTTCTAAATATAAATTATATTTATTTTTTAGCTCTAAAATCACTACATATCTATGAGCATTTTGATATTGTAATATTAATTACATTTTTATTAGTACCTACTTCCTATCTTAAAAACAATTTAAATATTGAAGTAACAATATGACATAGTTTTTCTATTAACTAATAAGAAATATTGATTTATTTCAATAATTATTTTTTATGAATTATGATCACTACCTATTCATTATAACCCAAAGTTTATTTAAAAAATGTATTGTCTTAACTCATAGTAAAAAGCAATAGATTTGAAAAATGAATAAAGATATGCATCATATGTATACATAATTTTTGTATGCATTTATCTACTAAATAATTGCAATATGTTTTGAAGTAAGCAATATATATAATATAAACTAGATAAACACTAAGATATGTTATATTAATGTGTTATAGGTAAATAGTAAGTACGTTGTATCTACTCTCAATTCCCCGTGGAATAGGGTGGCTTGGCATCCGCGGATAAGCGAATTCCGCGAACAATCCACAAAATTCAAATTAAAACCAAAATTCAATGATTATATGTATATGTATTATTAAGAAAATTAAATCATATAATTTTAAAATAGTATTTAAGGAAAAATTAATTTGCAATACTGCAAGCTGATTTGTTTTTTCGACGTACCGTTTTGCTATGTAACAGGAATTGTCAAATATAATTAAAGAGCAGTATATACTTCTGGAAAACTGACCATTAAAGAATATAATATAAATATTATATTATATCAACTTACTTAACTCAAAAATTAATATTTATTATTTAAATAAGTAATTTTGACATTTTGTATACAAATTTGAACTTAAAATATCTGTAAATATAATTTAATTAATACATTTTTTAAATTTTTTGATTCCAGTATAAACTACTTATGAATAATCTTTTATAAATTTTCAAAATTAAGATATATAATGAAAAATTTTTTTTATGAATTTCTAACAATTTAACAACAAAATAGTATTGAAACGCCTGCAGCCGATTTCTGTGTGCCAATCGAAACTCCGATAACGGATATTAAGGACGATTATGGTGACTTTGCAGGTGTCGAAACAACGATGGTACTTGAACTCACGATTGAGGAAAATAAACTGGAGGTGTGTCCGTTATTGTCATGGGCATCAATGCAACGGTACCATCTACACAACCGCAACAAAAAAGACGCCGGTTCCTGTCGGTCCTTCAGAGAGATTTCCGGAAGGTCTTCAGGGTGACAGGGCCATGTGTTGTAGTTGTGCATCGCCGCGCGACCAAAATAGAGATTAAGAGCACCATAAGAAAGGGAAAGGAGACCGAAAGCACACGATCGTGAAGGTGGTAACTTTATTTATACCACGTTTTCCGCGGTCGCGTCTTTCAGGCGGATGTGTTGTGGTGAACATCGGTCGCGATACAGGACAACTTTTTTATCGAACCATCCGACCGGCTGGTCGGCTTTGGTCGCCAACGCGACGGACGCGAGGAGGCGGCAATGACAGCAGTGGCGCACATTCAGGTATAGATAAGCAATGAAGGAATGGATTTCCGTGATACCGTGTAGCATAGTTGACGCCGCGTCCGATTGTAAGCACGTCTTGCAACCGGGTCCCGGCATTTTTGGGCGTATTATCAAAACTCTCTGTAAGTTAATATCCAAAATCGGAGACAGGACTCGAAAAAAACTAGTAAAAAAATCTAGTAATCAAAAGTTTAGTCTCGTGACGAAGCGAGTGTACCGATGTTTGCGACATTGGAAAACCGAATGTGTAAAAAAAATCTTCATATACAAAAATGGTCATGGGAAAAATATCTTTAATATATAATTAATACTTTAAATAATTATTAATAAAATATAAACATACGAATACAGTATATACTTTAGACAAAATAATATTCGTTTCAGTTCAATTTGATTCGAACTAAACAAAAACATTATTTTTATAAATATTACTAAATTATAGAATACACCTATACATACATTCTGTGTAAATATATATAATCATTTGTTCCGAGTGACGTAAAAAAATTGATTCGTTTAATAGTTTATTAAAATTAAATAAAATAATCATGGACCACTAAATCATTTATAAGATACTATTAGATCACTATCTATTAATTTATTAAATATTTTGTAATTGTTTATGAAATGAAAAGTGTTATATATGCTACACTACCACAGTTATTTATAGACATTTTGAATAAGACCAATTGTACCTAAAATTGTTAAAATTGTTGACTTATTAAAGAAAGAAAAATTAACAATAAATAAACAATTGTTCTTATTTATAAAAATAAACTAATGATTTTTTTTTTTTAATGTTTTATTTTTGAAAAATATTTATCTACGTGACTACGTTTATCTAATTATAATTCACATAAGATGGTACAAAGAATTTTTAACTTCAGTTTTTGTCAATTTTAATTAATATAATAAATTTAAATTTATACATACTTACCAAATTTAAAATACACATTGCCATTATTGATATTTAAAACAAATGTCTTATAATTAGTTCT